GCAGGAGGAAAAAAATAAAATTGCTGCAAAAATCATTGGAATTAGTAGAAAAATCCCTGCTAGTAGGAAGTTTGTTCAGGTAATAACTGAGACCCCAGTCCTATGATTGCCCTTTGATGGCAGATACCTGCATCCTTACAGGGGATTCTGCAAGAAGGGCAGGTGTTCACTCATCTGGACCCACTTGCAGGTCTGGGACTTAAAATCTTAACATTTTTTTACAGTTGGGTCTCTGATCATCTCACCTTCTTACATGACTTCAAAAGGAATCTCCTGAGTTGGGGTAATTGAGGCAGAAAATTATGCTTTTGTTGCCCTGAGGAAAATCCAAAGTCCCATAGCATCAGAATTAATTGTTTGTTAAAGAAGGATGTATCTCTTGAATTAGCTTTTTACCTCTGACTCCACCCCAATCCAAGGCTTGGTGAAACACAGCTACAACAAAAAGGGCTTTTTCTGTGGGATGGCTGGCCTTTTGTTAAAATAAAATCCAAATACCATACAACAGAAACGGAAAGTACAGTAGATTAAGGATCTACTTAGAGTATTATTTTCAACTGAATTATTCTCACTACTCATACTGCGCGGTGTGACACTGAGCGGATCAAGAGTGACTACAGGGCTCTGGGAGTACGGGTGAAGGAGTTTGGAGCGCAGGTGGTATTCTCTTCGATTCTTCCTGTCAAAGGTAGGGGCCCGGGCAGAGACAGATGCATCATGGAGGTGAATGCCTGGCTGCGAAGATGGTGTCGCCAGGAGGGCTTTGGCTTCCTAGACCACGGGATGCTATTTGAGGAAGGACTGCTAGGCAGAGATGGCGTTCACCTTTCGAGGAGGGAAAAGACCCTATTTGGACACAGACTGGCTAACCTAGTGAGGAGGGCTTTAAACTAGGTTCGACGGGGACAGGTGAGCAAAGCCCGCAGGTAAGTGGGGAACATGGAGACCTGGGAGATGGGTCGGAAACGAGAGGGAGTGTGGGCTATATTGGCAGAGAGAAAGGAGGGTCAGGGCAAAACTGGGAGGAAAGATCAAACCAGTATCTTAGATGCCTATATACAAATGCGAGAAGTATGGGTAATAAGCAGGAAGAACTGGAAGTGCTAATAAATAAATACAACTATGACATTGTTGGCATCACTGAAACTTGGTGGGATAATACACATGATTGGAATGTTGGTGTGGATGGATACAGCTTGCTCAGGAAGGATAGACAGGGGAGAAAGGGAGGAGGTGTTGCCTTATATATTAAAAATGTACACACTTGGACTGAGGTAGAGATGGACATAGGAGATGGAAGTGTTGAGAGTCTCTGGGTTAGGCTAAGAGGGGTAAAAAACAAGGGTGATGTCATGCTAGGAGTCTACTACAGGCCACCTAACCAGGTGGAAGAGGTGGATGAGGCTTTTTTTAAACAACTAACAAAATCATCCAAAGCCCAAGATTTGGTGGTGATGGGGGACTTCAACTATCCGGATATATGTTGGGAAAATAACACAGCGGGGCACAGACTATCCAACAAATTCTTGGACTGCATTGCAGACAACTTTTTATTTCAGAAGGTTGAAAAAGCTACTAGGGGGGAAGCTGTTCTAGACTTGATTTTAACAAATAGGGAGGAACTCGTTGAGAATTTTAAAGTAGAAGGCAGCTTGGGTGAAAGTGATCATGAAATCACAGAGTTTGCAATTCTAAGGAAGGGTAGAAGGGAGAACAGCAAAATAGAGACAATGGATTTCAGGAAGGCGGATTTTGGTAAGCTCAGAGAGCTGATAGGTAAGGTCCCATGGGAATCAAGACTGAGGGGAAAAACAACTGAGGAGAGTTGGCAGTTTTTCAAAGGGACACAATTAAGGGCCCAAAAACAAGCTATTCCGCTGGTTAGGAAAGATAGAAAATGTGGCAAAAGACCACCTTGGCTTAACCACGAGATCTTGCATGATCTAAAAAATAAAAAGGAGTCATATAAAAAATGGAAACTAGGACAGATTACAAAGGATGAATATAGGCAAACAACACAGGAATGCAGGGGCAAGATTAGAAAGGCAAAGGCACAAAATGAGCTCAAACTAGCTACGGGAATAAAGGGGAACAAGAAGACTTTTTATCAATACATTAGAAGCAAGAGGAAGACAAAGACAGGGTAGGCCCACTGCTTAGTGAAGAGGGAGAAACAGTAACAGGAAACTTGGAAATGACAGAGATGCTTAATGACTTCTTTGTTTCGCTCTTCACCGAGAAGTCTGAAGGAATGCCTAACATAGTGAATGCTAATGGGAAGGGGGTAGGTTTAGCAGATAAAATAAAAAAAGAACAAGTTAAAAATCACTTAGAAAAATTAGATGCCTGCAAGTCACCAGGGCCTGATGAAATGCATCCTAGAATACTCAAGGAGCTAACAGAGGAGGTATCTGAGCCTCTAGCTATTATCTTTGGAAAATCATGGGAGACGGGAGAGATTCCAGAAGACTGGAAAAGGGCAAATATAGTGCCCATCTATAAAAAGGGAAATAAAAACAACCCAGGAAACTATAGACTAGTTAGTTTAACTTCTGTGCCAGGGAAGATAATGGAGCAAGTAATTAAGGAAATCATCTGCAAACGCTTGGAAGGTGGTAAGGTGATAGGGAACAGCCAGCATGGATTTGTAAAGAACAAATCATGTCAAACCAATCTGATAGCTTTCTTCGATAGGATAACGAGTCTTGTGGATAAGGGAGAAGCTGTGGATGTGGTATACCTAGACTTTAGTAAGGCATTTGATACGGTCTCGCACGATATTCTTATCGACAAACTAGGCAAATACAATTTAGATGGGGCTACTATAAGGTGGGTGCATAACTGGCTGGATAACCGTACTCAGAGAGTTGTTATTAATGGTTCCCAATCCTGCTGGAAAGGCATAACGAGTGGGGTTCCGCAGGGGTCTGTTTTGGGACCGGCTCTGTTCAATATCTTCATTAACGACTTAGATATTGGCATAGAAAGTACGCTTATTAAGTTTGCGGATGATACCAAACTGGGAGGGATTGCAACTGCTTTGGAGGACAGGGTCATAATTCAAAATGATCTGGACAAATTGGAGAAATGGTCTGAGTTAAACAGGATGAAGTTTAACAAAGACAAATGCAAAGTGCTCCACTTAGGAAGAAAAAATCAGTTTCACACATACAGAATGGGAAGAGACTGTCTAGGAAGGAGTACGGCAGAAAGGGATCTAGGGGTTATAGTGGACCACAAGCTAAATATGAGTCAACAGTGTGATGCTGTTGCAAAAAAAGCAAACATGATTCTGGGATGTATTAACAGGTGTGTTGTGAGCAAGACACGAGAAGTCATTCTTCCGCTCTACTCTGCTCTGGTTAGGCCTCAGCTGGAGTATTGTGTCCAGTTCTGGGCACCGCATTTCAAGAAAGATGTGGAGAAATTGGAAAGGGTCCAGAGAAGAGCAACAAGAATGATTAAAGGTCTGGAGAACATGACCTATGAAGGAAGGCTGAAAGAATTGGGTTTGTTTAGTTTGGAAAAGAGAAGACTGAGAGGGGACATGATAGCAGTTTTCAGGTATCTGAAAGGGTGTCATAAGGAGGAGGGAGAAAACTTGTTCACCTTAGCCTCTGAGGATAGAACAAGAAGCAATGGGCTTAAACTGCAGCAAGGGAGGTCTAGGTTGGACATTAGGAAAAAGTTCCTAACTGTCAGGGTGGTTAAACACTGGAATAAATTGCCTAGGGAGGTTGTGGAATCTCCATCTCTGGAAATATTTAAGAGTAGGTTAGATAAATGTCTATCAGGGATGGTCTAGACAGTATTTGGTCCTGCCATGCGGGCAGGGGACTGGACTCGATGACCTCTCGAGGTCCCTTCCAGTCCTAGAATCTATGAATCTATGAATCACTCTTTTGCTCTTCACTGAAAATGCCGAATCATTCTGGTTGTCAATGTCTGGCATTTGATTTAACATTAACTACACCTTGGAAGAATCCAATTAGCGTCAAAAATTTTTGTTTAATCTGTTTATATAATTGTGGTGATCAACAACTGAGCACCATGCCATAAAGTCAATGCAAACCATTACTATAAAAAGGATGGAGCCAGTGAGAATAAACCATCAAATGGATCAGAAAGGTCAGGCAAGAGAATAAACTTAATGTAACTCAGGCAAACCACCCTGCCAGGCAAAAGGAAAACAGAAAAAGAAAAGGAGTAGTCAAGAAATGAAACACAAAACAACTGGACAGAGAGGGACCGAAAAAATGGTCAAAGGTAGATATGCCATAATAAATGGGTCTTCCAGAAGGCTTTTCTACATGCAAGGTTGCAATAGTTTAAAATCACACCTTAAATTAAACTACAAATCAGAGGGTCCACACCGTCTTTGCACAGATTTAACTAAAGTTAATTAAAAACAAATTTAAGCTATACAGAACTAAATCATTCTTAAAACTGAAATAAGGGTGTCTATGCAGGGGATTGCACTAGTTTAGACTGGTGCAAGTATGTGTGAATAAGGCCATACAGTGTCCTAAAAGCAGCCAATAAAGGGATTCTGATGGATGTCCTTCAGTGGACAGTTGCATAATTGAGAGCCCTGAACAGTTAAAGTTCTGCTCTCGTCCTGGTCATGGCCGAACCTTAGGACAGAGAGACGGCCTGCTCTGTCCAACTGCAGTTGTCCCAGGCAGGGGAATAGGGTCACAAAGACCTTCTGGCTTAGATTACGAAGGATTTCTATAGATCAAGATCTTGAATGTTAGCTTCCTTACTCAAACTTTACTCTTTTAGTCTCTTTACTCAAACAAAAATACCATTTTTCTTTAATACCTACTTCTGGCAGCATTTTCCACTTTTCCTTCACTAACCTAGAAATCATATTCCATGTGAATGGTTCTGTAGTAATTGTAAAATAATTATGAAAGTTTTTCTTCATGCAAATTACACTTCTTTTCCTTTGAACGTATAAGTAAATACTGAGGTTTCTTTGGAGAAAAGTTACTTACTTTCTTTCTTCCAGCAGTGCAATTTCCTTTTTGACCTCATGATATTCTTCTGCTATTTGGCAGTGCTGTTTGAACACCTCCATAGATTCCGTAGAGTCATGGCAAGGAGGCAGAGGCTTCATAAACAGAAGGAAAAAAAATAATCTAATGCTTCTGCATGTGACAAACATTAGAAATGAAATCTTGCCTATTTAAAAACCAAGATATGATTTGGGTCCAATCCTGTAGTCCTTATTTAGGGAAAACATCTATTTACTACAAGGACTGCAGGACCAGACCAAATGTTATTACTGTTATTTCCCATCTGTCACATGTAAACATAAACCTTTTAACCTTTCAAGTATTTTCATAATTTTCCTTGCCACCTATGCAAGCCATCAGTGAAATTTGGATTAGAAGAAGGATATTCTCCCTATACAACATCTTCGTCAGATACAGTGAAGTAATAATGCTAAATCTGGGGCACCCGTTATATCCACACCACAATATAAAACATGGTGTTTATAATTTCACTGCAGAATCAAGCAGAAAATTAATTTGAGTTGAGGGTGGGAAGAGCTCTAATTCAAACATAAACACCTATAAGATTAGAAAAGGGTACACCGAGGAACCATTGGCTAATTAGTTTTGTTTTCATATACATGCTTCCCTCCCTCCCCCCTCCCCCCCCACTTTATGGAACATGGTCTTATAGTTAAAGAACACCACTGTCAGCCAGAAGATCTGGGACCGAGTTTAGCAATTTACTTCCAGGGAGCCAGAATTTCAACCCTAGCCTCTATCCCATCTCTGCCACAGCCTTTGATGTGACCTTGGGCAAATTTCTCTCTCTGTGTCTCAGTTTTCACAACTGCAAAAGGAAACAGACAGTACTTACCTAAGGGCTGAGGTGAGGCTTAATTCACTAATATTTGTGAAGTGTTTTGAGTTCCAGTGATGGAAGGTGCTGCAGAAGTGCAAAACTATGAGGACAATGAAAACACTTCTTTAAGAGTATTCAGATAATAGGACCCAATTGTCCACCATTGAAAGTAATGGGAGTTTTGCCACTGACTTCACTCTATGCAGTCCCTATATTAGTACAGCAAGTTGTTTTTAAAAGAAGAATGCAAACTTTGGAAATCCACTATTGTAAATACAGCAAATAAAAATATCCCACCCTGAGACTCCTCTAAAGAATTAAAACTAACGTGTTGAAAGTACAATTTGGGGAAGTGGAGGTTGATGGGTATTGCTCCTTCTAAAAAAATGCAACTTAATTCAGACATCAGAGATGAGCTTCACACTTTGTCCATAATACTTGTAGGAAATTTAATATTTTTAAATTGGTAGCCATGAATTAATCAACTGCACATGAACGCCACATAACATGATCATGCCACCTGTTTAAATCAAAAGGAAACACTTAAAAATAATTCTTCTACTGTCCTGCTAAGGAGCATCCAATTGCCCTCTGGAATAAAAGTGAATCTATTTCTACCCCTCATTGCTCTATTTGGACTCTTCTATTTAGGGAGGAATATGCTTTCAGTGACTATGGGAGGAATGGCAGCGCACTGGTACTTCGGTTATTCCTATTCCTGACTCTGAAATCTTTTGCTGTAGCTAAAGTTACAAAGCATAGTTTTGATTAAATCTACTTACAGAGAAAGAACAAAAGGGTTTTTACTTAATAATGAGTCTCTTTCAGATGTGCCTTAATGAAGAAAAATGGTTGACGTGATGCAGGCCATTTGAATTAATTGTAAGTGGTATGTAGTTTTTAAGAAATGTGGATGTACAAACATTCATTTTCAATACAACATGAGTTCTGACAGTTTAAATTAAGACATTTATAACAATACTGCTGTGAACAAGTTGTTTTTAAGAAACAGCTTTGAGTTCAGGTGAGGTCAGAGCCCCAGAGAGAGAGTTCTTCATTCCTCAGGACATCCAAGGGAATGAGGACAGACACAGGGACGGATTTTAAATGACATGCCACAACTTATATGAAAATTTAACACTGGAGAGCGGCACTATCTGCCCTATCTCATACAAGGCATTTCAGAAGAGTCCATCGCGGTGTTTACAGGGCATCTATCATAGAGCTCATAACTCAGGGTAGACTCTCCACTGCCTACCCCAAGGATTCACCTTGCTCTGCTGAATCCCCTACCAAAGAGGTACCCCGGTCTGCAACGACTTCAGGTATTCCTTATTCCATAGACCTGGGTTGCACCAGTGAAATCCCATATCTCTTATCTGACACAACTGCTGCAAATTGGGATGAACTAACACTCTTAGAATTCCTCACATTAAATTCCTACATCTTATACAGAAGTCATTAAGCACCTCCGCCATTTCCACGTTTTCTGTTATTTTCCCCACCTCAGTGAGTAACGGGCCTACCCTGTCCATGGTCTTCCTCTTGCTTCTAATGTATTTGTAGAATGTTTTCTTGCTACCCTTTATGTCTCTAGCTAGTTTGATCTCGTTTTGTGACCATCTGAGGACTTAAGAAAAGCCGTTACTAATAATGCTTGATTTATTTTTAAGGCTGCATTTGAGAGAGAATATTAAATTTTTTAATCTGAGGTTCCACAGAAGATAGAGAAGGCTTGTTATCACCTCCATCTCCCTCCCAACACAACATTATTCCCAAGAGTACCTTTTCTGCTTGACTTTTTATTTGTTTTCCATACTTTGCATCTAGCCACTGTGCACTGAAATATGGACAATATCAAACCAAGAGAATTTTATTGCAATAAGCTGCACGTTGGACAGCATGTACATTACATCGTATCTGCTCATACACATGCTGGGCTAAGGGACCTATTTAGCAATCTTCTATTATCCAGGGGCAGTCACATTTCATTCTGCCTTTTTTATTTAATGAAACTAAACTGGCATGCAATTAAAGCTGGTTGAGAATTTTTGAAATTCCATCAAAACCTTTTTATTTTATTTTTTCTATTTTTGACAAGCTTACTGAGTAACTGAAATTTTTTGAGAACTTGAAATTTCAGGGAAAGGTATTTGCAAAAAGTTTCTACATTGTTCATGAAAAATAATTCTACCAGCTCTATATGAAATACAGGCAGACTTATTATTTGATAGCAAACTGCTCTCTATCACCCACAGGTAAAATGGAAGGTATAATGCTTTGTCCAACTCCCTGGCTGCCAACCAGAATGTTCAATTTAGCAGAGAGAGTTTATATGAGCCATAATTTGCTCTGGAATAATCTCTAAGTGCTCTAGCTTGGCAATCAAATTTGGTGGAAACGTTAATTTCCAGGTATTCCCATAGATGTTCACTATGCCTCTCTAGCGTCACAGTGTGTTCTCAGCTATCATCCATGACTGAGAATAAGCAAACTTATCACTTTTGCCTAAAACTTTATTGAACAGGGCCTTCCTTTCCCTTAGTGGGCCCTCAGGGTCTGTCAAGGCTCCTGTTTGTCTGCAATAGGTAATCTTTGTTAGTCTTCTTGAACGACACTCCACCATTTGTCCCCCAGCCCAAACTTTGTTTCCTACTTTCTTTTTGGGACGGTGTTGTCTTGTGTCTTTACAATTTAGGCCTGGTCCACACTAACCCTCCACTTCGAACTAAGATACGCAACTTCAGCTACGTTAATAACGTAGCTGAAGTTGAAGTACCTTAGTTCGAACTTACCGCGGGTCCAGACGCGGCAGGCAGGCTCCCCCGTCGACTCCGCGTACTCCTCTCGCGGAGCAGGAGTACCGGCGTCGACGGCGAGCACTTCCGGGATCGATCGCAGCAGATCGATTGCTTACCGCCGGACCCGGAGGTAAGTATAGACGTCCCCTTAGAATCACCAAAACAAAGTGCTTTGTAAGAAGAAATTGGAATTTGAAACCAACACTATCATATTTCTTGCTATTTTGAGGATTGGATGTGCCACTACTTAATGTGCTAACTTTCTCATTTCAGTGATAATGTCGTAGGCTAGCTGGCTACTTAAAGAGAGTTAGATCCAGCCCCCCCTGTGATAAATCAGCTGCCTCACAGCTGATGCTGTGAGGCTACAGATGAGGTGAAAACTTGATCACTTGGTCCTCACAAAAAAACTACAAGTAGCTCAGTTGAACCAGAAAGCTACACAGAGTGGGTAGGCTCTTGCAGGAGTCCCTAGGTCAGGGGAAAGAAACGGGTTTATGTATGACTCTCAGGCAGAAGCAGGGAGACTTGCCTTAACTCCCAGACAGAGGGCCTGTGGAGTGTGATCCTGCAGGGGGAGTAAATAAAATCTTCTGGAGGAACCTGAGTCAAGGGGAGGAAAGGATAGTTTGGTATACAGAACTTGTGTTATTTTGAAGAAATAAAATAGAACCTCTGAAGAAAGGAGGACTGGAATCCTGTAGCTGGAGAGTGTACTTTAGTGCACAGGCTGATTAGTTAGCCCACTGGCTTACCGGCCACTACTGCACCAAATTCATTACAGGGCAGGAGAGGTGCTGGGCATCTGGCATCACAAGTGCCATCTCTGGGGAAGGAAATGGGAAAACAAGAAAAGTTCTCTTTTTTGACCTGCAGAGGAGCATGGCAAGGAGATTCTGCTAAAATGTTTACTTGCAGAAAGGAGAAAGTATTTTTGATTTAGGCAAGAGGACAGAGAATTAATGAGGGAATAAATCTGTTACCACCAAGAAATGAGTCTGCAGAGGCAAGTCCTGAAAGAACAAATGCAAGGGCAAAGGCCTCAAGCACCATTATCTCAAAGAAGCTATTGTAGTGGTTCAGCAAATATTGTCATCTCACCTTCACAGAACAATGACACGTAATTATTAGTGTCCTGTTGGCTCCCAACAATGCATTTTCACAGCAATCCAACCTACTAAAGAGCAGGGAAAAAGAAAATGGGAATTCCCAGAACATGCATTTCTTGTCCTTAAAGTCTGTGCATTTTTTTGGTAATGTTTTGTTAGGTTGCACTGGCCACTGGTTGTGTCTGGCCTGCATATTAGAATACTTAATCGATTTGATTTACAGGATTTGTGTTGAGTCCAACAGGCATACTTTAGTTTATTCTCAATATAATATCATTTCACTATGCCATACAGTTAATATATAAAAGCATATCTGCAACAAAAGATTTAAAAAAAACCACATG